GAGTCGCGGTTGCTCCCCTTCTTCATCTGTTTTGGGGTTGATTTCCCAACTGACAACTTAAATCTTGGTTTGCCTTCGGACCCTTGAGCCGGAAAACAACGGGATCCACATGCCATGGGGAGTGAGGCTGGTTTGCTTTTGGGTTCCCGGGCTCCTCTTCTTGGTTTTTTTAGAGGCTTTTTGCGTTTTAGTTCTCCCCCAAAAACGCCGTGCTGGGGACATTGGTTTCTGTTTGTGAAGCCTCGGGCCAAGGTAAGAGTACCTTGACGCTCGGACGCAGGCATCGCTGGGAGTTTGGCGCAGTTGCCCTGCAGCCTAGGCAAGGTCTTCAAGGGCCTCAGCCCTGCCTAACTCCTGTGCCACGCCCAGGTTCTCGGTGCTTGCCACGTGCATGCAGCCAATGGTGCTGCCCGGCGAGTTGAAAGTCAATGGCACCGTGGCCACTCAGCTCAATGCCATCAGATACGGATCGAGATCTTTGGAATGTTCACAGCTCGTTTGGAAGGTCCTTCCGTCTGCAGAAGTTGTCGAAATAACGCAGAAGCCGCGCGACACGTTTTGGGTGTGGACAAAGCCGGGCAGAATGTAGCAGGGTCTCGGCAGGTGCGAGTTTGCTTGTGCCAGGCCGTACCAACCACTCTTTGTGAAGCCACTAGCCTGGCTACTGGATAAAGACATTGACAATGACGGTGACGCGCAGATCAGAGAATCCACAGAGAGGATCGCGGCTTGCCGAGCTTGGCCAAGTTTATCTTGCCCCATTTGCGCGCTGCCACGCCCAGGCAATGATATCTGCCGCACTGCGCTTTAAGCATTCAGATGCCTCTTGGCTTCACTTGCAGTCTGAATATTCTGGGGAAGCTCGCAGGGAAAGAGAGCACAGCGGGGCCAAACTTCCGATGTTTGCCATGTGGCAGCGTTTCTTTCGCGCACGTAGGGGCCTTTGGTGGCTGCAGAAGTGGGGACTGCACCACTTGCCATCCGGCCTTTGTCAGGCCAATGACTCCGGCCTATCTTCAGAAGAATTGCAGGCTGAAATGGCGGACTCACATCTGCAAGATCCAGCGAGTAGGTTTTGTCAGGAGTTGAGACAGACAAGACATTCAATGCGTAGATGGTTTCAAAAAATGGTAAGCTGTCAACTTGGTCACGCTCCTCACGTTACCTCTTCTTATTGCTTTCATTGTTGCTTTGTTCTGTATTGTTGCTGGAGTCGTGTTTTTTGCGACTGCCGTTCATAGCTGAGCACGCCTCACAAAGATGTCCATTGGCATCTTGTCCCGCAGGGAGCTGCAAAGGAAGTATAGTCTGGGAGATCCATGGAAAGCAACGGCCCATTCCCCTTATCGACTCACAGGCTTTCAAATGCTTGTTTTCTTGCTCGCGACTCGTGGGCTCCAAGTAGAGCTTTTGCTTTCATTCCCCTTTGCCAAAGTCTTTGGGCGCTTCCCCTTGTTTGATCCAAGTTTCGGTGCACGCGTCACCCGAGATCGCAAAGCAAATCACGCGTTAACGTGAAGGTCGTCAGCCGTATTCATTGTTCCTTGTGTTGCAACATCATTGTCGTTGCGGTATTCTGGCCTGAAGGTATGATTGTGAGAGGGGCAGGGCGGGCGAGACGAAGAGGGGGGAGAGACGGAGAGAGGGAGAGAGGGACAGCGCACATTTAGCATTCGTCAGAAATCAGAAGAATCATGACATCACCCTAGACTTGATCATGCAAAAGAAACAATCAGCCGACCGCCCTCCTCCAGCCTGATGCTGAAGTTGATTGAAATACCACACACACAGTTATATATATATATATATGTATATACACAACATATACATATGTATGTGTATATGTATATCCCGCGGGGTTTGACAGCTGGAACAAGCAAGGACGAGCGGCAATTGCGATAAACGGAAAAAAGGGGGGGGGGGAAAACAATACATCAGCCAAGGATTGGTACGGCGAGCTTTCTGGCGGCCAGCGCAGCAAAGCAGAGCTCATGCGGCAAGTGTTCCTCAAAGCAGAATGCCCAAAGGCGCGTGGCGGCGCGGCGATGAATTCACGGCTGCAATGCCAAGCAAGAACACACGGCAATCACGGCAATCACGGCAACGAGAGGTGATCCTGTTGGATGAAGTCTTTGCTCCACTGGATCCTGGCTCCAAGCTGCTCGTGCAGCAACTGCTCAAGGAGCGCAAGCAGTTACCCAACGATCATTGAAGCTACCAGGAGGGTTTTGGAAGACTGCCATCCTTTCGGAGGGCCAGTTTTCCACTTCCATGATTGTTAGAAAGAAGCTAGCAAACATGGCAGTCAGTCACTTCGAGACCTTTAGTGCTTCCAGGAGCGCTGCTCTGAGTCTCTCATCCTGGTCATCTACCACACAGGCTCGCCCCCATAGGCCCGCATGCCACAATGAGCCACGGTCGCAGGTGATGGCACCCAATGTGTCAGCAGCAACAACTTTTTCGACGACAACCTGCATGTCTCGAATGGCTCGGCACACTTGGTGGGGCTTTGCTGAATGCCCCACGCACACGGGCAGATCTCGAGTATTTGCTGGAGAGCTGAGCTGCGCAAAGTTGGCGGCTTCAGGAAGAGCTGCTCGCAGTCTGAGAAAATACGCGCAATTATTTGCCACCCTTCCCCCCACGCGCATGGACATTGCATAAGGGGCATAATTCATGATTGTGGAAGCTGGTGACCAGAGCATGCACCGTGCCGAGTTGAGAATTCGGCACAGCCGCACGCTTGGCACCCAGAAGTTTCGTATGGATTCCAATGGATCCTGGTCGGACTTTTGTGTGCCAGGGTGAACGGCAAGCACGATCTGCCTCGCTGAGGCAAATCGAGGTCTCGAAGGAGTGATGGAGCTTGCAGCTCACGTCCCGCACGGCCAGAAAAGACTCCTTCACCACGCCTGAACCTTGCAAACCTGAATGCCCATGCAAGGTCAACTTGTTCAGTATCAAAGCTGAACGGCGAATGAACAGGGCTTGAGGCCCGTCCAGCGGACAACTGACAGCCCGGATGGCTGTGGCCCGATGCCATTGAGCGTTCTTAGACTCGCCTCCTTGCTGAAGAGACTCCAGCTGCATGCTTGAGCAGCTGGTTTTGCCTCCAGAGCAAAAAGAGTGCGCTGAAGCTTTCACCCACAAAGTATCCTACAGCAATTCGGCAATCCCATTTACGCCAGAATGAAGCTTCAAATGTCTCGATTGCTCGTTGCGACCGGTGGCAGCCAATGGCATTTGTCCTGGACACAGCCCATGTTCCTGAACCGAAACTTGCCAAACATTCATCGTCTTCCTGATTTTGTGAACACTTTGCCAGGGCAGCTGGGGGCACCAATTTAATTTTTCCAGCCTTGTCACGCCTCTGGCAAGCCAGATGCGAGCGCGGTTGTTCAAGATGTGCTTGCCGAGCTCAACGCAGCACCAAGGGTAGAGGATTCGGCCTAGCCTGCGGACACAGCTAACAGATCCCAAGACAATGAAAGCAACAGAATCTTCAGAATGCGATAGACAGGATAGACAGGCACAACACTTACTCCATTGACTTATTCCAGTGTCACGGTGCAGATTCCCGGGCTAGGTGCTTGCCTTGGTCAGTTAATCAGCCTACATCGATGCGTTCCCAAGAAAAGCTCAGGGCCTTTTGCAGGCCATCTTCCTGGAGTTGGCATAGGCACCTAAGAAAGTTGCAACCTGGTTCACTCTGCGCATCGTTCTTCCACAGGCAAGAGGCGACGTGGGCCTGACCCGCCTTGGTAGCCAGGGACCTCGGCTTGGGCTGTTGAAGCGGCCTGTCCTGGCCGCAGGGGTGCCGCAAGTCCAACCAGTGGGCTGGGCGGGCTTGAGTGAAAGGCAAACGTATCAAGCGCTAAGCACTGTGCAAGGGACCTTGCGAGAGCCGGGGCAAGTCTTCGCCTCCCGCAAAGGCGGCAGCTCGGAGCAATGACGAGTCCCAAGGCAGGCCAACGAAACCTGAAGCTTACTTGGCAGATGGGGAAGATGGTTTGAGCCATGCCGCGAGGGTGTTGATCTGGCTGTGCAGGTTCCCGAGGAGCAGGTCGTCGGAAGTAAAGTGGCGCGAGGCTTTGCTTACTGCTGGGGCATGTGGTGTGCCAATTCAAAGCTGCTGCTCGCCAATGCTGCTCTTGCTAGCTAGCCAATGCAAGGCTCTCCATTTCTCAGGTTGAGGGGCAATACTCAGTGCAGACCACTGATGTTGGCGACACGCAGTCAGGGCCCGTGACTTGAGGGGCAGGGTTCCAACTTTATACGAAACATCAGAGCCCGCTCTTCCTGAGTTTCACTGCTACTGCGTCCCTGGACGAGTCAGCAGCTGGAAGCCCAAAGCCGCCAGATGAACATCTCGCGCATGTTGAACTCACATCAAGGTGGCCAACACGTGGCAAGGCGTGCCGGATTTCCCCTTCGAGTTGCCGAGCTCATCTTAGCTGCGTGTGGTCCGTGGGCACGGAGCGGTTTTGCTGAGGTCTGGGAAGATGGGCCTAGGCTGTCAGCTGACCCCGCCAGCCGTGGCCTCCGCCCAGCTCATTGTTGCAGCCCGGGTGAGTCAGCCGAGGTCACCTTCCCGCGAATCATCTCCGCAGCCGACATCGTGGAGGCAGCATTGTGGAGTAGACCCACCCTGCCTCGTCTTGAGTATGTCATCAGGCCTTTGATGATGCTTTTACGTGCTCGCTGCTGCCGTGGGAGGAGGAGCGCACGCCTCGGGCGCATCAGGAAATTCCAGCAGCGTGCAACTGATCAAATTTCGCGCATTCACAACCAAGGTTAGGTTCTTTGCACACGTTCATACTCCAAGCCAGGTTCCCAGCATGGAAACGTATGTAAGAGCATGCCGGGCCAGACAAGCTGCTAAGGAGTGGGGCTTGGGATCCCAAGAAGAACCACAGAGGCTTGGGTTGGTGTTAGTTAGCGCGCTCCATGCCGCACAACATGGAGCTCAACATGACACACTGAGAAGTGATTGGTGTTAAAATTTGGGTGGAGGCGAAGGAAGGATCGGCGAAACGACGAGGCGCCGAAGAGCAATCCACCATGTCCATAATGTGCGGGGCAAAGGTGGCCTGTGTGGCCATCCGTTGCGTGAGGCGGCGCGAAGGGGATTGCAGTCACTGATCGCACCACCTGGGGACCTTGAAGGCAGGCGCTTGCACAGACTCTCTGCTGGGGAACCGCCTTGGCGCCTGTCTTTTGTTCATACGCCAGGCGAAAATCAGAAATTTATTTGCGTCTTCCAAGTTGGCCGCATGGCTCAGTCTGCAGGTGAGAAGTTTGAAGCTGGCTCCAGTTGGCACGCGTATTTGTGCGAGAGCGCCTGAAAAGTACCCCAAAATTGCTTTTGCCTGCGGAAGTGTAATATGGCCAACCCTAAAACCCTAGACTACGGCGAAAGTGCGACTCTTGGAGCTCATGAGGCTTGGAGGATGATGAGGAGTTTTGCTTGGTGAAGCGCATTCTTGGCAAGGCTGGTTTCAGGAAAAATCCCAGCTGGAGTGCTGTATCGGACGAAGGCCGGCAACAACATGCGGCGGATCGCAGATGAGTGCAATGCGAAGGCTGGCGAATTGCAAACCGCCGCTGGAAACACCTCTTTGCCCAGAGCGGCACATGAGGTGCGCTTGCGGGGCATCGGCAGTGGCTTCCTGGAAGGATCAGATGGCTGCGAGGTTTGGCACTTAGCAGCCTTGACTTGAACATGGCAAGTAAACTGCTCGGCAATGTTTTGGCACTCAACCACCGGGCAGCTGCGCAGGCAAACATGCCACTGCAGCTGAACGTCAGCTGCACGGATTACTCGGACTATGCATCATACTCAGAGCGCAAGCGAGAGTAAGCGGTGCCTGTGACTGGACCTACGCCTCTTTCACGTTAGTTGGCAGCATATCACCAGCCTCATGGATCCGTACCTGCTAGTAAGGTTGCGGCAGTGGACCAGGCGCCTTGTCAAGTGCCACATGAGCAGCCGCAAAGGGAGGGACATGACATGTCTACATGCGTTAGAACGTATCAAAATCTTCGGGATCGATAGAGTCCACAAGCAGAAGATGTCACCGCACGCGAAGCGAAGGGTTGCAAAGGTTGCAAAGGTTGCGAAGGTTGCGAAGGCCGGAAAGGCCGCAAAGTCCCGAAGCCGCAAAGGGCCGCAAAGGCCGCGGCGAGGGCCGAAGGCTGCAAAGGGTGCAGGTTGTGCAGGTTGTGAAGGCCGTGCAAGTCGCGAAGGTTGCAAGGCCGCGATTGCGCCGGTTGCTTTCGATTTTGCGTGACGGGCTGTTTGGCTTCTTGTGTCGATGCGTTGGTTTCTTGTTTGGTTTGTGTTGTGTTCTGTGTCTTTTCTTGGCGTTTTCTTCAATGCTGCAACACTTGCCAAGCAAGCCTTGGCGCAAATAAGAGGAAACCTGCAATATGTCCAAACAATCCGCGGACCTTGAGGATCATGTGGCCAGGCTTGCCAAAGAGGCCTTTCGCGCCAGAGGTGCGTAAAGGAATTGAAATACATACATACATACACACAGAGGCATCGTTGCAATGTTCCTGGGTGCTAAACGTGACCACGCTGCTTCCATCCTTTGCGACTCCTAGGATGCTGAAGCTCGCAATACCTCCAGGAACAGTAAGGCCAAAACAAGCTAACTACTGCCCAATGCCCTCTTGCTCAGCCACGGAGTCTTGCCGGCCGCAGGGTGGCGCGTGCAACTGGTGTTTGGTTATTGCTATTGTGAAGGTGGCGTCCTTGCTGAAGGACTTGTACAAGCACTACAGGCAGATACCAGACATGACATGACCATCGTTGAGGGGCATTTAATATCTGTAATGGGCGCACCGCTTCACAAGTAAGTTTGCAACTGGCAGGCGGTACGCAAGGTCGAAGGGCATGGAGCCCCCAGATGTCAGGCTCTCGATTCTGATCAAGGCATGCCCGCGCTTGGTTTGCCGGTTGGTGAATTCGGCTTGTCGCGAGCATGCTGGAGGCTAGGGGAACATGCACACGGGTGAAACTGTTGAGCGCCCAACATGGTTGGCCTTGTGTCACCGTATCAAGCTGCACTGCAGCGCATAGCTTAAGTCACGCTTGCCCTGCCTAGCGCCATGCAAGTCAAAGTTGCATGTCCTTGCCCAACCCTTGCCACCCTTTTTCCAACACGTTTGCATGGCTGTAGAGTTGTCATAGCGAGGAAGGTGCGGTTTGCCTCGTGTACGGCCCGTGAGGTCCGGCTCAGCGTGGATGAGGTCAGGCGCGACGACCTGCGCCTGGACCAACTGGCAGCCAAGGCGTGCCAGCTCCGCAACTGACAAAGTCGCAGTGTTTCATGCGAATGCGCTTCTTTTCCCACACAAATGTGAGAGAGAGAAGGGGAGCTGCACGTGGACAGGCAAATCGAACCTCCATGGAGCAGCGGCCTGAGACCTTCTGGTCGCTGTCAGGTCGCTGCGCCCCTCTCCTCACCTTTCAAGCAAGCCACAAGTGGGAAACGGGCAGGACAGTTACCTTATGAGTGAGGGGTTCGAAGCAGATTCGGCGTGCGGAAGTGTTCACGGCATTGCGACAGGGGTTGTACAAGTTGCCAGCCACAATCATATCTCCCTTTGTCACTGCAGCACGCGCCTGGAAACCAAACGAATTTGCGTTGCATGACGTAAGCTTATTGTTCACTTTGCTGTGGGGCAAACAGGGTACCAAGCACAACGGAGGATCAGTGTCTAGGGAGACCTGGCGCTGCCCAGGCGTGAGCGGGATCGTCTTGACCGCCGCGAGCGCCGGCAGCCTAGAAGCGTAGAGATGCCTGAGACCATGAGCCCACGTATGCCCGTGCCACATCGTGTCACCCATCCATGCACTCAGAGCTAAGTGTTGGGCGGGAGCCTCTTGCAAGGGTCGTCTGGGTGCAGCAGATGAAGCAGAAAAGGAGTTGCACCTCAGGTGCTGCTGCAGCTGGTGCTGTGGGCATGCTTGACACTTAGACCTTGCCTTTAGCTTAATGTTTTTTCTGCAAATCACAGTTGTTTTCTGCCCTTTGCAGTGCAGGAGTCTGAGGGCCTGCGCCTAAGCCTTCCTTTTTTTGGGGAAGAGGGAGCTGAGAGCGCAAGTGCTTGGCAGGGAGCAGGAGATTTTGGCCCCCGACAAGGCCGGGAGCTTAGGCCAAGGCCTCCTTGTAGGGAGGCGGCCTAGTGCCGAGATGCAAGAAGCCTGCAAGCCAGTGATCTGACAAAGGAATGGATGACAGCAGCAGCGTGGAGCTTGGAAGGGCGCACTGCGTGCATGCTGGGACAAGTGCGACAAGATTTTCTGCCCTGCCTCAGGTGATAGCTCTGGAAGCCTCGCTCTCAGACAAGATGCGCCACCATCTCTTAGCATACAAATGCCTTTGTTCAGGTGTGGTGGAGGATGAGTGGAGGTGCAGCACTGGCCAAGGTACACTGGCCAATTTGTGTCTGTGCAGGTCGAGAATGCTCACACTCCCCTCTGGGGCTCCTGCTGGGGGCTAAGGGGCGAGTGGGGTGCAAGACAAGCCATGACTCAACACACGAAGGGGGCACGGTTCCAATCTTGTTTGCCCACCCAGATGCCAACAACGCCGGCTGGCCGTCGTGCTGCTGCACGGACAGGCCGTGCCGCTCACACTTGCACCTGGAAGTGCCTGTCATGCCAGTGACCACGGCTCCAAATTTGCAGGTGGTGCCGCCGCTGCAGCGGCCGTTTCAGCAGCTGCTCGTGAGGCAGAGCGCCCCTGGCCCAGGCTGCCAGGGCGCGTGACCAGATCCAGTCCCAAAGAAGATCTGCGCATTGAGTTATTTGCCATATCATTTTGCACACCGCGCTGATGGGCTTGAGGGGCACTTCCGGCCAGCTGACCAATCTCTGAGGTGAAGAGCGTGAGAGAAACAAAGTAGAGAAAGAAAGGAAGAGGCGCGAGGCTGAGGAGCGGGTGACTTTGCCATGGAGCGATGTTTTCCAATCAGTTTCAGTGACTCCTTGGGTGCAGCGCATTCCGTTCCCATGAACGGTGCCCTATTCGGGCAAGAAGTAATAAGCCTTTAGCGGCCCTGCATGTCCCGCCTTCCAGTATGAAAGGCGCGGGACAACAAAAGCAAGATTGCACCCGTCTGAATGGCATGAGCCCCAGTTTCCCAAATCAAATCCAGATGCCCATCTCAAAGGCCCCGAAACCTTACGCAGGCAGGGAGACCCCAAGGACAAGCCTATCCAACGCAAAGAGCCACGGGTTCATGCAGCATCCAACTGTCTATGATGCTATGCATCAGCTCCCCTGGAACTATCTCCTGTTCAAGAGCCTTGTGCCTGAGCCTGATCCTGCAAAGCGTCAGCCTGAAGACATGCTAAGTGCAAGTGCTGGAAAGCTGAACACCAATCTGTCTTATGACTGTTTGAATTGAAGGGACGCAGCCCCCTTCCAACATGCATTCGGCAGGAGAAGGCCGCTGCCCAAGCAAAGCGACCAGGCCGCAACGTCGGAGCCTCAGAGCAAGGGAACTCCTTCACTGGGCCAGACTCGCACACCACCTCTTGCAGTTGGCCACCTCCAATCTGTATACTGGCATTGACGGAGACGGCGAACAGCTCCCTCACTCGCGATTCATGTTGCAAAACGGATTGCTTTCCAAGGCTCCACGCGGAATGGGTTTATTGACAAGATCCGCTGGCGATGCGGTTGCCTCATGGCAGTTCTGCTTTGGCAAAGCGGGAGCAACCTTTGATAAGCGCCGACCGAGTCCCCTGCTTCAGGCACAGCAGCTGCTTCCAGACGGGCAGCTCCCGATCGGAGCCAACACGGCACCAACCAAAGTCGGCGGCAAAGGCGAGCAGAGTTTGTTCTTGAGGCAACGGCCAACCCACAGCGCAGGCAAAGGGAAGAAGAACAAGGGCAAAGGCAGAGGAAGACAGCAGGAGCACTGCTTGAGTGAACACAGGCCCACCCATAGTCCGTTGGCTCATGGTCAATCTAAATACTGCTGAGATGGCTGGCTGATTCAGCCGGCCTTTTGCAGCCAGCCAAGTAGCTCCCGTTTAGAGCTTGCTCGGCTGGGAAGCATCTCAGTTGGCATGCTGCCGGACTTGGTCTGACTCCTGCAGGAAGAGGACTCCAAGACGGACAGCCCTTGATGGCATGAGGCTGGTGCAGTGACAGGACCTGTCAACCCCGTTATGGCCTGAAACCTCCCGGCAGGTTCGCCAGCGGGCAGTGAGCCGTTCTTTCATTTTGCCAAGGCACTGAGGGCATGCCTTGGCATGAGCTGTGCCGCGGGTCGCCTTTATCACAGGCTGATAGGCGCCAGGCCACTATTTCTTTTTTGCAAGACGTTTGGTAAAGACGTTGGATGAAGTTGACTGCTTTTCCACAAGCGTTTGAGACGCACTGGAAGTTTGTTTACCTTCTGGCCCGCAGCTTAGCTGAACCGTGTTTCACTTGCAGCTTTGGACGGATGAGCTCACCTTCGTCCTTCCAAGCTGAGTGCATTAGGGGGATTTCATGGGCAACAAAAGCGCGCACAAGGAAAATACTCAATGATCCTTAGATAGCAGACATTCCCGGATGGAGAGGAAATGTGAAGTGAAGTGACTCTTGGAATTGAGTTGTGGGAGGCCACGAAGCTGTCGGAGCCACATACCACATTTATTCTGGGACTAAGCAGTTCATGTGTTCTTTGAGGCTGCATGGGCACGACAGCTTGCGCAAAGCCCTGGGGGTTTATTCAGCGGTCTTTTCAGGACCGGCTTCAGACAATCAGCAGGTGGAGTCTTCTTGTGGCCGACCCTCACTCAGTCAGCCAGCATTTCATGTTTATTGTGAAGGTGATTGACGTTTGGCCACTCATATCAGCCCTTTTGTGTGGCCGAATTTGTACGCGGCTCGCATGGGAAAATCAATCATCATGCACCCGACCACCTGGATCACCAGCCTCACCGGGTCATTTGGGTCATTTGACACGAGTAGCTTGGCCATTTACTGCCACTCGGATCCCCAAGAACAACAAATAATTCACCTAAAAACAAACAAACCAAATATAGAAAATAAATATAGTCATATAAAAATACTAAAACAAATCTTCCCAACAGCTGAAAGCTTTGGGGTCAGGGCGGCCCTGAGGTAATTCCACCAGAATTCCGCCAGGGTTCAGGGTTCCACCAGGGTTCCACCAATTTTCAAGGGCCACTACATTTTCACCAGGTTTCCATCAGCTGCGAGGGTTCTGCGAGGGTTGAGGAAAGATTTCACGAGGGTTCCAGCAGAGTTCCATAAGGGGTGGGATTCCACAAGGCCACAAGGGTTCCAGAAATGTTCTGCAAGGTTCCGTGGTTTGCCCTGGAGGGAAGTAGTGTGTGCGCCCGCCGTTTGAAAAGCGCCCGCCGGTTGAAAAGCTATAGGAGAAGTAAATTGAGGGCTTAGAAGATCGTTTTGCTCATGGGCGGGAATACTAAGCAAAACCGAAAACAATTATTTCAGTAATTATACTTTCACCATCCTGTCACCGGCCCACCCGCACAAGCAACGCGGTCCGAAATGTTGGCGTTGTTGCAAATCAGATCACGTTGCTGCGAGATTCACGATGCAGCAGAGTAAATGCTTGGCATTGCTGAGTATTACTTGGTGGGCTTTGGGTTGCAAGAATTCCACAAGGCTACGAGGGCTATCTCTACAAGGTTTCCATCAGGTTCTGCAAAAGCTATGGGGCAGCCCTGAGGAAAGATTCAAACAAAGTTTCACGTTGAATTTTACGAGGGTTCTACGAGGATGGTTTGCGAGGTTCACCGCACCTAGGTCGGGGACCGATTGCACCGTCGGGGCCGGATGGTTGCACTATATTGCGCTATTGCATCATCGGGGCCCGATAATTTTACCAAGCTGGTTGCGAGTTAAAGGTCGTATCTTAGAGGAAAGCGGCACGCAGGGCAAAAAGAAAAGCAACGATGATTGCACGCCCAAATGTCTGGACGCAAGTTTTGCACATGTGTGCAAGCTGGTCAATTGTTTTGGGAAGCTTTTTCCGAAATTGGCTTTTCACTTTGTAGGAGACTTTGTCGCATGTCGGGCAGCGAAAGACAGGTAACTCGGCCTGCGTTACAAAAGATTAGAAGGCGGGAAGGGAGGGACGATTAATATAGGTGGCTGCGGTTCTACTACGGGATTATCGGTTGGGCCCGGATTGCACCGTTAGACCCCGATCGGGCTTTGATTGCGTTATCGAGCCCCTACCGGGCTCCGATGGTCCCGATTGCGTGGTCGGGCATTGTTATTCTTAGCTTAAATTTTGAAAAAAACACAAAAATGTATTTTTAGTAATACCGGCCGGTGAGGTGGATTTTGGGGCGTTCTACGAGGATTTTAGGGTTAGAGATATCGGTTGAATTCAGTACATTTGAAATATAATTTATATTGATTTATATTTATATTTTTATTTTATTTTTTTAATAAAATTAAGATTATTATTATCACCAATTAAAAGAAATTATAGAAAACATATGTTTAAATCTAACGAGCAAAACATATTTAACACAATATTTTATTTTATTAATATTATTTTTAATTTTATAGTTAACAAAAAATAATAATATATATAATTGTTAAATTAAGATTCATTATATATATATAAAACATATAATTTGATAATTTATAATTATATTTATATATATTTATATTTTATGTAGTTTTAATTATTATAAAAATAAAAATGTAATTATAAAATATATAATTATATATAATAGTAAATAATAATATATAATAATATATAATAATATATAATAATATATAATAATATATAATAATATATAAAATTGATATAATGAGAAGGATTATTTTGAAAATAATAAAATTATTAGATATTTATTATAAAATAATTATAATTGGATTTTTATATAATTTTTTAGGGGTTTATATTGATGTTTAATTATGGGATTCGCTACATTGAATCTTTGATTTTATTTATAATGATATTCGAAATATATTATTTTATATTATATAAATATTATTTTTTAGAAACATATATTTATTGGTAATAATTTGGTATTAATTGATTTTTTTTTAATATATATTATTTTATTTATTTTTATAAGGTTAATTATTTTATAATTTAGTATATTTTTTGTTTATTTATATTTTTTGATATGGTGCGATAGAGAAATGAAAGAATAAACAAACAAATAGAATGGGAAGGATACGGCTTCGAAATTGTTATTTTCGTTTAACGCCGAAATGATATTGTGATCGAAGAAGGTTTTATTATATAATGTAATTCGGAGATCCTCGAAATTTGGCCGGGAATGCGATTTAGATTTTGATTACGGTGGTCCAAAATAATATAGGAGGATTGTTAGGCCCTGGCCGCATTGACCACAAAAACTTGTTGCTTGTATTATTAGAATATAATCGTTTTAAAGACGATTATTATGCAATTTCTGATTTGCACCGCCAAAATCGTACAGGTGGCTGGCAACCGGTGCTGCCACTTGGAAAAAAAAAATGGAATGGAAGAAAACCATGCTTGTTTGGCGCGTATTATAGCCTTGAATCGGATCGGCGACTTGTAAGGAATTGGTTCTTTGTCTTGGCGATTTTGCAGAATATTAAGCCTAGGAAATTCGATATTTCATATATATAGAAGCTATAAAAAAAGAGCATTTACTTTGTTTGCCCGACCATATTTATTCGATTACCATTTTTAGACATTATCCCGCAAATGTCTTTAGAATTTGTCGATTAAAAACCTATATATTAAATTATCCGAATCGAAATATTTCATTCCTTTTGTTTTTTGTGTTTTTTATTTTATTCCCCTCTTTTTGACTTTGTCCTTTTCTTTTTCCTTTGTCTCTTTCTTTCTTTTTCCTTATCTCGATACTATTTTTATATATATATATATATATTTTATTTATTTCTTCATTTCTCTTTTATTTCTATAATTTCAAATCTCTAAATTTGTTTTCCTTTTGTGATTTTGAATTTTGATAGGATTTTTTTTAAACGTTTTAGCTCTTAAATATATATATCTATTTAATATTTTCTCTTTATATTTTTATATGAGATATTATTATATATTTATTTATGTGTTATTCTTTCCTATTTCTTTTTACTGTTTCTTTTTTACATATTTTTCGAGTTGTGTCTTCTATTTTTGTTGTTTTTATTATTTAAGATCGATTTTTATTTATCTTTATTTTATTAATTTTTATTTATATTTGTCGTTGGTAAAAATTTATATGTATTTAATGTTTATTTATAATATAATATTTTATATATATATATATATAATCTTTAAACTATATTTTATATTAATATATATATATATATTAAAATTTAATTTATAATATATATATAATTTTGGAAATATCATTTAATAAATAATAATATTAAATAATACCGATTATAAATTCTACAATGATATAAAAATGTTCATTAAATTTAATATATTTGTTTATTTAAAATTAATTAATTTCAATTATTTTTATATTTATAATATATAAAATATATAAATTATTAATTATATATAATTAAAACAATAAATCCAAATAATCAATTACTTATATATATATAAATTTATATATATAAACATCATATTCTAAATATTATTATAAATAACATTTCTCAATTATCTTTATAATTCGATATTGTTTAATTATAATATATTAATTATTCGAAAAAATAAATATCATTATAAATATTATATTAAATAATATATATATATATTATATAATTAATAATAATTTAATTAATTAAATTTAAATAAACAATTAAATATGTTTATATTATATTATATTTTATTTATTAAAACATATCAATATTCTTAACCTCATAATATTCCATTAATCTATATCAATTCCCACCAAATCCACACAACCCTTTCACACCACGTAATTACTTTCACAAAAAATACACAAATAAATAATAATTCAACACTCAAAAACACGATATATAATACAATAAATATTGATCACTTATCCTAAACCAAGTCCAAAACTCCAAAACACAAACAAAACCTGAAACCGCAAGCCGAAACCAACACCTCAACCTACCAAAACCCTTTCCTGACCCAAAACCCGAAACCTAAAAACAAAAACTAAACCCTAAACTTTGTTGACCCTCAACCAAAACCTAAACCTCCCTAAATTAAAACCCAAACCCAAAAACAAGAACTTAAACCTTCCCGAAACCAAAACCCCAAACCCTAAAACAAGAACTAAACTCCTTAACCGTGTTGACCCTCAACCAAAACCTAAACTTCAACCCGAAACTGAAACCTAAGCCTTCCCACAAAGCCCACACCCTGAAACAAAACCGAAACCCTAAACCGCGTTGACCCTCAAATAAACCTTCCCCAAACCAAAGCCCCAAACCCTCTAAACCCAAAACCCAAATCTAAGTCCTCTTTGAGACCCGCGGGTTGCCCTTGTGGGGGTAAAGATAGTAGATACCCTCCCACCAATTAACATTGAACCTGACCAGGGGGAAGGGACTCCCTGTCAGGTTCCATGTCAATTGGTGAGAGGGTACTGTCCTCCCACAGTCATGTATGATTTGCAAATTCTTTATGCTTGTTCTACTTATCTTTACATCCAAGTTCATTTTGAGGCTCTCAAGTTCTTTCGTTCGTAGATCTGAAGCTATGGCTACCAAATGTTTGCGTCCAGTTGCCTGCAACAAGCCGCTCACGGCCAGAAGTTTGCGAATGCACTTCCCTGGCCTCGATGACTTTGCCAAGGTGTAACAGGAGACCATGCCCTCGCTTGCGCGTACTGATGGGATGATCGTCGATGCTCAGCGCCTGCAAGTAACTGCACCCCACACTTACAGGGTGTCAAGGGTGTCCTGTCAAGAAAGAACAAACAACTCGTCAGCTTCGACGTATTCTCACGTGTCAAACCTTCCTGCAATATGCCACCGCATGGGTCTTGAAAGCTGGATCAATTCGACTGCATCCGATGGCGAGGGGCATATGCCCTGGATGCCAGGAAGCGCACAGCGCGGTACATCTGAGTGGCATTGAGGCAACTGATGACCTGAGCCGTTCATGTGAATCGCGTTTAGCTGATCTTTGGCAGGTCTTAGGCAGCAGCCACGGCCTTGACGCCCAGGCGAAAGAGCCTGCTGCTGTCATCGCGGAAAAGACATGCCATATTTCACTTCTGATTGGATATGGGATTCAATCCAGCCTCTTCTAAGTTGCTTGGCCCTTGACCACCCTTGCTCTGCATACATCTGCGTACCAAATGTGAAAACATTCAACATCTGCCTCTGTGCGCCGTGTAGCACCAGGAACTCGCCCCCGTTCGTATGGATTTTCAACACGTCCAATGGCTCACCTGGAAACACACACACACACAAACACACACAAAACTGGCCGCATTGTTTTGACCTAATGCTTTCTGAGTTGCTCCAAAGCTTATCCAGGGTAAGTCCTTCGAAACAAATTGCGCTTACAAGTGTTCACCCGAAAGACAGGAATTGGAGCTTTCATAATGTGTGTGTGTGTAAGGCAAAGCCCGCTTTCTTTGCACTAAACCCAGGCCGATGGTTGCCGAGCGAACTCGGCGCTAATGCAAACCTGTCTGCCTGGCAGACGCTCCTTCTCTCAAAATACATCCTGTGCGAACACGGTGTATGGCTTCCGAGCAGGCAGTCTCAGCATGCCTAGGGCCTGTCCTGGAACAAAAGATAGCAGTTGCTGACCAAGAAATTCGGTGCTGTCGATGTGCTGGCCGCTGCCCACAAGCCCATGTACAGCTTGGATGCGGTCCTCTCCACTCAAGCCTCTCCAGCTCTCTCAACGCCCTCTGCTCTCTGCGTTTCATATTCTGCTATTCTGCCAATCCAGGCGGTAAGGCTCAACCATTTACATCACGCTAGTCTCTTTCGCGGTCAGCTGCCTGCCTGCCTCTGAAATATGCGCCACACCTGCAGGCCATTGGAGGCGACGGACTTCTGAAAGCGTTGCCAGCGGCTCAAATCTGCCTCCACGCCAAGGCATCTGGCCTGAACACACTTGCCCCAGGTCGAACCTCCTGATTCAAGGTCAGAACCCGCTTTGGTTTTTGATGCAAGACAAGCACGGCCCAAGAAGCGCCAGTTGCTTCTCACGTGAAAAGCTCTCTGCAAGTCTAAAAAAGTCCGACATGTCTTGCTAAGGTGCCTTATAATCCTGCGCATTGGATGGTTTGACAGGGTGACAAACACGATGGAAATAGACATGTCTGAAAAGGATGCAAGCACCTTGCAGTAAAGACACTTCTGGCAGTGCAGCAGCTGACCACAGCATGCAGTCGCCGAAGTGGGCACCGATCTGCAAAGCAGTCGGAAGTTCAAATCTGGCCCTGACCCTTGCTCTCGCAAAGGGCTCTCTGGTCGAAACTGATTCACACTGACACAAAGTCTGCTTTGCCCCTTGTCACAAGAACCAATACAGTACTTGCCTATCCTTCCATCTTGACAGTGTACCTCTCACACGTCTGACGTTTTTTCCTGGCCGGCTTTCCCGCCTCTGCCACACGGGGCTGCCATCCATCTGGTGCCACTGCTGCCACCTACGTGCATGGGGTGCGCCAGTCGCTGAGATGAATCCAGACACATGCAAAGTGCGCGTGCTTGGCTTGCATCTCGCGGGCTTAGCGGTGAAGGTCACGAAAAGCCTTTCAATTGCTTGCAAGTAGCGGGCAACCCCGCATCTCTTGCCCTGTGAACTCTTCTCTTCTACGAGCGTGCGGTATGAGTTCTGATATTGGTCCCCCCCCCCCCAAAATGGTTTTCCTCTCGGTGTCCCTCTGCTCTTTTGCCATCGGTGCGGGGCCTGTGCCACCACTTCCCTGAACTCTCGGGAGCAGTAGGGCCGCTTTTCAGCACGCACGCGATTGGAGACGACCATGTCCTGCGCTCACAGGCCAGGGACAGACTGGGAATGTGGCAATTGGGGCCTCCTTTTGTCTGGCTAAGAAAAGGGAACCGAGCCTTTGGAAGGTTCAGAATCTTTTGCCCTCAACCCTGACGGGGTAGCCTGAACTGTCTCAGCCAGGGCATCTATTCCCAGGGAAAAAGCATTGTGGGAGTGGCGTGGGAGCTTTGTGAAGTCCTAAACACCCGCAAACAACTTGTCATACGCTCTGGCATCTGCCTAAGTGCATAAAAATACAGCGCTTGCCATGATTGCTCATCTTACTCGAGGTTCTGCAAAGGAGATGATAAAAGATAAAGATAATGCTGGGAAAGGAAAAGAACATGAAAGGGAAAGGTGCTCAGGGTCTTATTGTCAGGCCGTTGGCTTCCTCGTAATCAAGGATGACTCAATTTCTGAGAGACGAGGCAAGTGACAGTGAGGAAGTCCTTACACCGCTCATGCTGGACGGAACTTACCTGTCAAGGAATTTTGCTACCTTAGGACCTTTCCGTCGCTAACAGCCGCCGTGTGACTGAGGTGATGAGGAACGAAGGAACTTGTCCATTGGCCATCTTTTTCCCTTTGCTTCGGAGTCTCTTTCCTTGTCATGTCACTCACTCTTCCTCTCTTCGTTCGGGGTCTAACTTGTATGTCTACACATCTCTTCACATGCGCTACCCGATCTCTCCTGCTCATTTGCTCGTGTCGGGCTGATAAACTGCCAGAGCCATGTTTGCGCTGGCGGCAAACTTGGCACCGGCTCCACGGTGACCTTGGCAAAGTTGAGGCCGCATTGGGGGAAAAGGCCTCCGCAGGCCTTACCAAGATCACGCATGAGCCACAACTTGTGAAGGGATGCCATGAGCGAGCAGTGTGTCTCACTCTACTTCGTTGCTTGGAACGTATGTCCATCTCCTGCATTTTCATACTGCTTTGGAGCCGTTGCATGGGGGCCAGTGACCTTTTGTGGGGCCATGACCCTTGCCGTGTCTCCGAAGCAGTATTTGACACTTCCTTGTGCAACTATGTAAAAGCATATCAGTTCGTTTGTCACCTACATACATGCATGCATACAGTGCACCATTCCATTGCGCATCGCCTTGCATACGTATATTTTGCACTATATACATATATATGTTAATATATACAATACTATCAATCATGCATCGTTTACGGTCCGACCCCAAGGTTGTTCGAGAACTCATGACGTTCTTCACTTTGTCTTGATCATGAAACTGCACATTCCACCGTGCTTGTATCGAAAAGTATGTTAGAGGGGGACAAAGGAATGTATTTAGGCCCGCAAACACCTGCACGTCGACATGATGCAGCGCAGGGCAACATCACATCCAGTCTGTCGCGACCTTCGTTTGAAGCCCACATCGCAAAAAACACCTGGTTTTCGCACGTTTTCCAAGATAGGTAGGCAGGTTCAGCCCAGCACAGAAAACACTGCAGGCACCGTGAATTTTATGCAGGGGGCTTAAAGCTGCTGATAAACTCCATGTACTCAAGAGCCTTTCACTGACAGGAACAGCAAGAGTGGACGTTGATTGGCCTGGCTATCGTCAAAAGCCTGTCAAAGTGCAAGTGCTGTCTGGCGGCGCACAGCAAGCGCCCGCACACAAATCTTTGTTTTAACAGTGGGCGCAAAGTTGGTTCCTACATTCACTTGTTATGCGAACAGAAAACAGCAAGTTCTTGCGACGCCTGAAAGTAAAGCGAGATGTTTTGCTCAACTGGCGTGCGCGCAAGAGAGTGAGAGAACGGGGAAGATACGGGCGCGTCAATGGCGACAATCCCAACAGTCAAGCTAGACGCGAACCTTGCAGTCCAAACAGCTCAAATCTTTTCCACTGGGGTGACGCTAACACGCAAAACATCTTTATGGAGAGCTTATCTAGCGAGCTCGAGCGAGGAAAGAACCTGTCCCGGACGGAGCTGGGGGCAGGGCGTTGACCAAGCCCGCGCAGGACAGGCGGTCCAGGGCCACCCACAGGGGCCAAGGGTTGCGAATCTCAGCAAGGCTCTGCGCGGCGACCGCCAGCGCCTTCAGGCGCCCCACGAGCTGGAAGAATGAGTTTGTTCCCCTTGAAGTCACAGTATGAACTACCTTTCTGGAAGAGCATTGCCAGCTCGAGCCTTCAACAACTCCGAGTTCCCTTGAGAAATCTTTGGAATCATATCCTGAGCCTCTTCCGCTCCGTAACGAGATGTGAGCAAGAACCTCAAGCTGTGTCCACGCTTATCAATGCTTTCAAGCCCAACAAAATCCAGCATCCCGGGGCCCCTCTTCACAAATCACACCTTCATGTTCACATCAAGCTCCAAGAAGCTCCCCAGCATGGCATACATATTTTGGATGGCAGCTTTGTAACCCGTTGCCACTGGTGGGCCACCGCTCCCTTCGGCCGCCTTCCAGCCTGGGCCCGCCGTAGTAGCTGGACGCCGTTGCCTAAGCCAGGCAGCAGGCCCTCCTCACGTGCCCAACGCAGGTGGTCTGCGGCAAAAACGTACCTCGGCAGTGGCGGATTCTTGGTGGAGAATGGATCAAGCAGACCAACATGTTGAGGAGGCACAAGTTGTCACACCCGCTCACACGCACGCTTCTTTTGCACCACCAAACCACAACAACCAGCATTCTAGAAGAGACTGTTGAGATGTACGCATGTCAAATGTGCCAAACACTGTATCATAAAGAAAGCCAACCGATTGGAGGCACATGCAGTGAGCGGGCAACTAAAGTTCACAAGCGTTGTGTGAACGGAAAACCAAAGCAAAAAGGTCAGCTGACAGATTCCATAGCTTCATTTGTAAGGAACGGCGCTTAGAGCAAAGCAAACATGTACCACAACCAGCATAGCTACAATCCGAAGCTTCCTTCGCTGTGCCCAGGGTCGCTGCATTGTGTGCACGAAAGTGTGCTCAACACATGAACAGCAACCAGTTAACAGCACCCATATTTGCATCTCATGACATCCTACAATTTGCCCCTTAAAGTACCCACGCTTCAGCCGCTCAGCCACTTTACTCTGCCCGTTTGCTTCCAGGCGGCACTGTGGCCCGCGCATGAGCGCATCCCGCCGCCCGCGGGGACGGCGCCAGCGCTGCCTCCAGCGCCCGCGGCGGCAGCGGCGCCTCCTCCCGCAGCGCAAGGCGAAAGCGCCTGGCCCGGCTTGCCTACGATTATCGAGATGTGTTTCTTTCCCTTCCTTCTTTCTGTACTTTGTTTTTTCTGTCTTTCTTTGTCTTCCTTCTTTATTTTCTTTGTTTATGTTTTTGTTTTTTCTCCCGTTGTGAGACAGAACTGCATTGGCGGATAGAGCTCAAACGACTCAACAATTGAAGCAACGACACACGCGCACACCATCGCAAGTCACAGCATGCCACATGCCACGCGGCTTGCACAAGACGTGGCGGCAGCGCTGCAAATGATCCGTCATATCAGGACACTGCGGCACATCCTTGCCAAGTGGTGAGCGCTTCTTGCCTGGATCCCGATGGAGTTTGCTTAGCATAGGCGTGATCTGTCCCTGCACAGCTCAGGGAAGCTTTCACACGATTTTGTCTAAGGCAAGGACTGCATCCGATTTGTCAGCTCCTTCTTGGCAATGCATTGAAGCACTAGAATATTTGCAGTATGTGAAACCTCAGGTCGTGTATAAATGGTCTGAGCGTTTGAGCAGTTAAGCATCCCAATTACCTGTTGTCGGGCTCATGTTACTTCATGTCATAAATTTCATTGGATCCCTCTGGCCATTTCTGAAATTAATCGGCAAAACGGCAATTGCTTTCACGAAATTGGCATGACCACCAACCACTCCCTCGGAACTCACCCACCCTCAATTAATTTCAGAACCAGATAACCCAGAATATCCTAGGAAACCAGGGCAACCAGAGATATGGGAGGATATGCGTTGGGAAATCAATTTGGGGGAGCCCCAACGTCCATATGAGCTACGACAGATTTTTGCGACATGTTTGAATGGGCAGGTGCTCCCACCTCGTCCTGCACCCCACCTGCTTGGACTCATTGGCCTCGTTTTCCAACGCCGCATGTGTTTGATGATCTTGACCACCTATATGTCATACTTCGTTTTGGGGGAATTCCTACCTCGTTTTGCACCTAATTCAGTATGTTACCCCAAAAAGTGTGTCTAGCCTTTTCTGCAGTCTTCTGTTCATAAGGCAGTCGCCCATATGGTTCTTATTTAAATTGCACCTGTAGAGGACTCCAGGCAGAGCTACGCGGCACCCCTGTTTATTTTTTGCCATTCTGTGCTATTTGCCCTCTTGGCAGTTTGCAGCCAGAAATTAGTCAGGGTGTCCTGCAGTACTGTCAGGGGCCATGCCGACTGCATGAAACAATTCATTCAAGCAGACTCCGCGCTACTTGCAAAACATATTTGGCTTGAGGGGTCTTTCGGGGCCCTCCCCCCGCCCGACCAAAAAGCAACCACAATGCGGTCCTGAGCTGGTAGGGCTTGACTCCTGAGCTCTCGAGTGACAAGCCCACTTCCCAAGAGACTCCTCAAGGGTAACCCGGAGCCAAGGCTCAAATCCGCAACATGCAAAACAACAAAACATAGAAGAGCACCAATTGTGCTTGATACGGCAACGCGATTGTGGAACTCTACGCCTGTTGCAGGATTTGTCCTGTGATGACACTCGATGTTTCATTATGTGTGATTGCTCGTCTTGGCAAAGAGTAAGCAAACACGAACACGTATGCACACATCTCCCAAAGACAATCTCATTCGTATTCAGCAAATCACAAGCCCTTACCACAATGTCTTCTCTGTAAGCTTTCTCTGAACTATCCGAGCATATTTCAGCCTTCTCATCAGTCCTTGCCTCTGCAGCTTCTCCGAGAGGAGGCCCATCAGGGCGAAAATGGGCCAGCCCGAGATGAGAACCTCTACAAAAAGATGGATTTCCAGCTCTGAGAGGGGGGTGGACGTGGGGGGTTCGATGTCGACAGCGACAGCTGTGCATTTGAGTAGAAAAGGCATCTGCGTTGAGATGAGAGACAACATTTGGGGGTGCCTTTTTCTGAGGGTACCCGGCTGTGGCTAGCTTTAAACGGAAACCAAAAGCAAACCCACCATGTTTGGGGGGGGGGCCCTCAAGAAAGACAAACCTATTTACCGACAGGGGCAACCATTTCATCGGCCGTCAATTGATTTGCTTGAGCGCAGGCTTGATCTCGCCTTTGCTTTCAATGATCTCACAGCTCACAGCTCACAGGCGAGCAGCATACCAACTAACCCACAGAAACCCACCAGCCAAACCAGGCTGACTCAAGAGTAAAGTGTAGCAAGCCCGGAACCACCAACTCACCAAACCAATGTGTGTGATCCGGCCTGGTGCCAGCTTGCTGCCAGCTTCCAGAAATCCCCCCAGGCGGTGTCTAGCAGGGAGTCCAACCAGCCGTTCATCTCCCCACGCATCACTCGACTGAAGCTCTGCAGGAGGTTCTCTTCAGTCTGGCCTTGCACCAGCGCCCTTCAGATTTGGATTGGGAATGGCTGGAATGGCCGCTTTCTAGATTCGACTGCATTCTTCTTTGTGTTCTGGCCGAACTGGTTTCTCTCCAGAAAATGCAAAATGCGCAACTCGCCAAATCATTGGCATTGCAACAGCCAAAGAACTTGGCCAAGCCACTAGCAAGCAGCAGCCACCTGAAGGAGAGCTCTCCCAACGGGCAGTCATTGTCCTCCAGGCCATGTTGTGCAGCGGCCATCTCATCCGATGGACACTGGTGCCGTGTGCGTGTGCGTGCGTGCGCGCGTGCGTGCGTACGTGCGCGTGTGTGTGTGTGTGCGCGCGCGCGCGCGCGCGTTCGTTTGCGTGCGTGCGTGCGTGCGTGCGTGCGTGCGTGCGTGCGTGCGTGCGTGCGTGCGTGCGTGCGTGCGTGCGTGCG